AGCCAGTCCCTGGGCCGTGACGCTGCTGCCAGACCTGCCACGGGGATGGACCGAGGGCTGGGAGCAGCTCCTTGGTGGAGGTACCTGCAAAGCAAAACCTCGTGTGCAAGGGGGGGGAGTGGGAGGGTGCTGTGCGCCTCACCGGGGCATCATCCCCCCTCCCCTCCACATCTCTTCTTGCAGGATTGCCACGAACGCGGCGAGGAAACTGCAGGAGGAGCGAGGTAAGGGCCAGCGGGGCTGGGTTGGCCCCATGCAGTGTTGTGTCATTCCCCTCCCACCAGGCTCTACACACCCCTGGACCGATTTTGGGGTCCGCAGAGCAGCTAGGGAGCCCCATTGCTCTCTGCTCGAGCATCAGGCTCAGCCCCTGTGGCAGGGACAAGGGGCTGTCCCCATCCTCCTTAGCGGGATGAGGGCATCTCAGCCTCACGGCTGCTGCCTGGGATGGGAGCGTGGCAGCAGCCTGGGGTGGGGGGGTGATGGCCCCCCCCAGCCATGCCTGCTTTCACCCCGCTCTGCCCGCAGGGGTCCAGCTTGATGCTGTCATCCTGGAATCACCCTACACCAACATCCGTGAGGCGGCCGCCCACATCCCCCTCACCAAGGTGAGCCTAGGGGCTCTGCCCGAGGGGTTCCCCCAGCGTTGACGGGTGGGGGGGGATTCTGCCCATGGTGGGGTCCCCATCCCCAGCAAGGGAAGGGTGCAGCAGTCAAAGCCATGACTTAGCATCCCCCCCCCCAACTCTCTCCCTGGCAGATCTACCGCCAGTTCCCGGGATTCGAGTACCTCATCCTGGACTCGCTGGCTCTGGGCAACATGTTCTTCCGCAGCAATGAGAAGTGAGTGCCCGGAGGGATGGGGGCGCAGCCGGCCCCGTGGGGCTGGCCGAGGCGGGGCGGGTTGGACATAGAGTTATAGAATCACTTTGGTTGGAAAAGACCTTTAAGATCATCAAGTCCAACCTTGAACCTAACCCTGCCATCCCACCACTAAACCCTGTCCCTAAGCACCTCATCGATCCTTCTTTTAAATACCTCCAGGGATGGGGACTCGACCACCTCCCTGGGCAGCCCATTCCAGAGCCTGACAGCCCTTTCGGGGAAGAATTTTTTCCTAATGTCCAACCTCAACCTGCCCTGACATGTCGCACCATGCAATCCTTGCACTCTTCTTTGTGTTTGCCCAGCTTACTCATGCTTTAAAAGTGGCTTTTTTGATTTGCACTATTTCAGATATCAGTATTACTGCTGAGCAAAGTCCAGAAGCCAACATCCTTTCTTTTTTTTTTCTTTTTTTTTCTTTTTTTTTTTTGAGTGCTATGTGCTCAAGTCCCACCCATGCTGCGGCGTACGCACGCTGTGGCAGCAGGGTCCTGCCCCCTCCGTGTTTGTGGGTGCCTTTGCTAAAAGCCATGTGGTTCATGGGTGGGGTTTTTTTTGTTTTTTTTTTTTTTAAAAAAAGCCTGAGCACCCTGTGTTGGGTTATTAGGGCGCTGTGCTGGGGCAAGCAGCATGGGCATCACCCTGGGACAGTTCAGCTGCCCTTAACCACCAGTGGGCTTGGGGGACGGGCAGTGTCAGGGTTCCTGTGGGGGTTTTAGCAGCACCCAGGGAGGCCCCCACGGGTCCATCGGCTCTGGGGGTGACTCCTCGGCGCTGTGCTTGCTGCCCGCAGCGTGAAGGTGCTGACCTGCCCGCTCCTCATCCTGCACGCAGAAGATGATGCTGTGCTGCCTCCGCACCTGGGCCGCGAGGTGGGGACCACCATCGCCTCTGTGCGGGCGTTAATGGGCATGGGCGCTGGTTTAGCCTGGTTTCGGGGGGGCTGAAGGGGGG